TCTCTCCTGCTCCCTTCTTCTCTCCACACCCCGACCCCCTTCCCCACCAGCAATGCTGCTGTGGCCGCTGATCCATGTGGGTCAACACTTTCATGATCAGAGAAACACCTTTATGGGCCCAGAGGAATGCCACAAGCGGGCCCACCGGCACCGCCCAGGGCAGCAAGTAAGTGTCACCGTCCCTCTGTCCTCAGGACCGTCATCTCATTCCCAGTCAGCAAGGGGATGGGGCTCAGGGACTAGTCCTCCTGGCAGCAGGGGCATGCCAGCCGAGCTTCTGGCCAGCCTCCCTTCTGGGAACCTCTGACCACACAACTGGATCCCCACAGTCAGCTGGGTCTGAGAGCAGCTGCCCGGGGCATGGCCAGCAGGGGCATCTGAGACCCGCTCAGCTCCATCCATTCCTACTCCGAGCAAGGTGCTGGTCCGGCACCAGCCACAGAGAGTTCGGGTCAGTAGGGCAGGGCGTCAACCCAGCCGGACTGAGTAAAACGATATCCATCCAGACCTTTGTCTCAGTTCCCTAACCCCCTCCCACTAAAGAAGTCTTTTCACCCTGAGGACACGGCGTCATCAGGACAGAATCCCAGCAATCCCAGTGATGGGTTGAGGGCCTTCTCTCCACTCTCCTGGCAGGTGGAGCTCGGCTCTTTCTCTGCCTCCACTTTTTATTTTCATGCTTTCAACCAATTCTGGGTATGAGCTCCAAAGCTTAGATTGCGACCTTCCACTGGGCATTGTCATCTGTATATGTCCCATAGCATCCACCCAACAGTGCACGTAGCACAGACAGGACACAGTCAGTGCCTAATAGATGTCTGGTGAGTGGCCTCATGGGAGTGTGAGATGGACTGACAGTCAGACAGGTGTGATCTGGAAAAGCCTACACTGAGCTTCACAGCAGGGGAGACAGACTCCATGGGCAGGGGCCTCTCTGAATAGGGGGCTCGGTGAGACATAGAGAGGATCTCGGAAACCATACCCGTCACTCCAGCGCCCTCGCCATTCGTCCTGGCCCCAGGGGTTCCACAGGCGGAGGAGGTCTTCCCAGCCCCGCCGGTACTGAATCTGCAAGGAAGAGAAAAGGACACCGTCAGAGGCCTCCAGCCAAAGTCAGCGGAAAGAGGGGATATGGATGCAGCTGCTCTTTACCTCCAAGGACTAATTTAACTTCTGACCTCATTTGGCTGCAGCCAGAAAAAAAATAAATAAGGACAAATAAAAATCAATGCCTGCTGCCTGCACAGAGCTGGAATGAGGCAGAGGAGAACATGGCTCCGTCTGCTCAGCACCTCGCCGAGCAGGGGCCACGTCATCGTTCCTTCCGACTGAACCCCAGAACTGGGGTGAGCCTGATTGAACAGCAGGCAAATAGCATGACTGCTGCCTCCAGCTGCAGAGGGAAGGACATGTGGGTCTCAAGCTTCCTCCAGGCCCTGCCACAGCCGACATCTCTACCCCAGACCTTGCTGCTTCCCTGCCAGGTGCCCACTGGGAGCAGTGCTGCGTCTCACAGCGCTGTCCTGAGTGAGGAGGAGGATTTGAGCAGGACTGGGACCA